GGCAGCAAATGGGACCCATGCCCCACCCTCTGGCTCCAGCGCCCCCAGTTTTTCCTGAAGGGGGGAACCTACTGAGCTCTGAGCTGATAGGTCCCCATGAGCCCCCCCTCTCAGGGGTGTTAGCATGGTTAGGGGGTGCTCTGAGGATAATTTTTTAATTTAAAACATTTTAATTGAAAACGTTCAACTGAAATACAGCACATTTCAAAGGAAATCATCAGACCCAAAATAGGATGCTCTAATACAGGAATTGCTGGTGGGCAGAGGCCAGGCTAGTGGTCTCTTGAGTGTTGAGCCCCATCCTGTGCCACTTTGCTCTGTTCTTCAGCCCCAGGTGCTGTATCCATTTTTCCTTTCCTCTCTGGAACCATGCTGCCTTTAACCACAGGGCCCTTGCACTAGCTGCTCCTTTAAAAAAAAAAAAAAAAGTATAGTTGACAGTAGATAGAGTGGACTGAAGGGTCCCGGGTTCAATTCCGGTCAAGGGCATATGCCTTGGTTGGGGGCGCATCCCCAGTGGGGGGTGTGCAGGAGGCAGCTGATTGATGTTTCTCTCTCATCGATGTTTCTAACTCTCGATCCTTCTCCCTTCCTCTCTGTAAAAAAATCATTAAAAAAAAGAAAAAAAAAAAGAAAAAGAACTGTCTGTGGGATAACTGCAAGGTCAGGTCAGCAGTCCCAGCATCCCACCCCTGTGATATGTGCACTGAATCCCAGGGCAGGGAGGGGGACCTGCCAGCCACTCTGAATCGCATCACCTCTGGCCCTCAGCAATACATGCCTCCTGCCTGCATTCCCATCTCCACAGGGAGTCTGGGCACCCAGTGGGTGCTCAATAAAGTCCTGGCGCCAGGGTCCGACGGGACCTGAACCTTCCACACTAGCCAGGGTGCAGGCAAGGAAACAGCAGGTTGGCGAGTGGGGCAGGGCTCAGGGACTGCCCTGCCAGCAGCCACTCACCCATCACCTCGGGAGGGTGGGACTGGGGAAGACCAGGCCTTGGGCATGCATTTCAAAGGCTTCGCTCCTCCCAGTAAAACCAGCATGGCCCCCGTGGAGGAGTCACAGGCAGCCCGGCCTCCTGCAGAGGGGGGGGGGGGGTCACTGGGAATTCTGTGTTTCATCAAATATGGCGCTGGCCAGGGAGCTTTATTTGAAAATCATTTTAATTAGCCGGAAACGAGGAGTTTAATAAATGGAAAACAGAGACCGTTCCAAGGCCACAGCTGGGAAACACTTGCTTTTTAAAAAAATTCCGCCTGGCTTCCCAGGCCAGCTCAGCACCCTGACACAGGGGCCCGATTGCCAGAGGAATCCACAAGGAAAACAAAGCTTATTTTTAGAGAAATATTTTAAACCCGTTTCCAGCGAGTTGAGGAGTGTTCTTGTCTGCCCCGAGTGAGTATCTGCCCTTGTATTTCAGAGCCACTCGCACCCCGGGACGCACACGCCTATCTGACAGCTATTTCTGCACCGATGAAAATAATCGGGCTCCTTCCTCCTCCACCCTGAGGACTGTTTCTAAATACGTCCCTCTGGTCAGACCCAGGAGGCCTGTGCCCTGCAGGTGTGCCCCCCAATAAAGTGCGTTGGGAGTCCCTGCAGGCCCAGAGGCCCGTCTGCCACCCTCCCTCCCGTCAGCCCTGCTCTGCCCTCAGCCCTGCAGGAAGCGGACGACAGCCTGGCCGTCATTTCCGGGTTTTGAAAGCTGTGTGTAACTCGAAAAGAGGCCTGCTAAACGGGGCTGCTTTTCCTCTGTAGGGGTTGTTAACACCCTGACCCCCGCATGGACACGCTCCCAAACACACAGACACATCCGGACCCAAACACACAGCGACTCCGACAGGGCCTCCCTTACATCCCGCAGACCCACACACCTACCCACACAGCATTAGCTGCACAGATACAGCCGCAGCGTCAGGCACACCCAAACCCACACCCACACCCAGATCCACACACACACCTACTCACATTCGGAGCAACAGACACACCCAAGCTCACACCCATACTCACACACACACACACACACAGATTTCCACAGCCACCCATAGACTCACACACCCTCTAGACATACATACTCCACAGAGACCCACACTCCCACAGGCAACCCCACACCACAGTACTCCCCCCACGGAAACACCACACCCACAGAGCCCTGAGCACCTGCACAGGGTGATACTTACGAACACACACACACACACACACACGCACGCACACACGCACACACGTCGCCCTCCCTATGGACGTCCCCGACAGGCCTCCCCCACGCGTGCAGATACCCTTAGACACATCCACACTCATATGTGTTCCAGCTCTAGCACAACCTGTCGGGAGAGGCTGGGAGCACACACCGAGGCAGGCCTGGGCCCGGAGGTGCTGTGGCTGCCTGCAGCCCAGACCCCCCACCCGCCTCCTTCCTGCAGGGCTCCTCCCGGGCAGGCCTGTCCAGCTGCCAGGCCTCGCTCCACCCTGGCCCGCCCTCTTTTGCTCCCTCCCGCCCTCCCTGGCCTTGCCAGCAGCAAGGAACTGGACCAGCCCCGGACGGCCACAGGTCTGCACATCTGGAGTGCGAACAAGAAAGAAAACAAACCCAATTAAGTAAGATAATAATGACGGGATGTGGCTACAGGCCCCTGATGGAAGGTAAGCCCCGGCCTGGGCTTCCCCTCTAGGGAGCCGAGCCAGCTCCCACTAACTAACGCAGCAAGGCCAAGGAAGGCAGAGAGAGACCCAACTTCCACTTTCAAGGCAGTCACATCTGTCCCCACGCTTGTCACCACAAGCCAAACCGAAGAGGGAGTGCCTGGGGACAGTTCCCTTCCACGTTCAAGTGCACTCTAGCGGGCTTCCGCCCTGCACACGCCCAGCCCAGGGATTTCAGAACGGAGCATTCTAGTGCAGGGCCAGACTTGCAGCCAAGAGCTCTGCCTGTTGGCCCTGGCTGCCTTGGGCCCTCCCAGGCCTTGGCCCTTTCATCTGGGTTCCTGAGCGGCTGCAGCGCTCACAATCCTCCATCTATCCCCAAGGGTGGGTGCAGAGCTTTCGCCTTCTCAATAGTTTTTTTGTGTCCTGTCTCCCCCCCACCCCCACCCCCCGCCCCCTCCTTTTATGCACTCAACAGTAGATTCAGGCAGAGCGAGGGGCAGGAAATATGACCACGCACGCATCCCTTCTCTGAGAAGGTGGTACACACTAATGGGGTTGTTAAAAAACAAAACAAAACACACCTTCCTTTTCAAACAGCTGGTGGAAACGCCACCCTATTAGGGCATTCTAAAACACACATTACGGGCTCGTTTTCACAAGCGACTACAAAAGAATTTTATCTTGAGTTAACACGGTTTTCCACCCAGTCAGCTTGAGTTCCGCTCCCCAGCCTGCGAAAGAAATCCTGGCTTGTCTTTACTTGCAGTTTGTTATTTCTTGCTCCTTTAAGTTTAAGCGAAAACTTTCCTAAGGGTGATCAAGCCACAGCGGAGAGTTTTGTTTGCTGTGAATTCCAGCCGCGGCAGAGACAATGACCTACATACCCTCCATTGATCTGTGGCAAGAGGAAATTTCTGAATGATTCTCCTCCCCCCCTTCCCCACCCCCCTCACACCCCCAAGCTTTCCACACTCCACTGGGTCTGAAATACAAAACACATCAGATCTTAGCAGTTGGGCTTGCAAACAAGCCAATTTTGAAAAATAAATGTGGCTTACCCCAAAAAGAAGCCGAACATTCCAGCTGATCAAAAGGACTTGTTTGAGGAAAATAAAGTTTTGGAATGAAGTGGAGGCAAGCAAGGCCTTGAAAACGCAGTCTGGCCTCCTCAGCACCCCATTCTAGACCTTTCCACATTCTTGATGGTGAAGAGGCCAGAGAGCCTGCAGGGTCCTTGCTGGAGAACCCTCCTCGGCCTGGGGTTTCCCCTCCCTCACAGTGGGGGCCCGCAGCCAAGGGCCGGGCATCTGGGAGGACTTTGAAACTGTTCCTCACCCCCCTTTGGCAGCGTGCGCCCAGCACCAAAACGCTCCAGCTAACACCAGTGCAATCATCGTTAACGTGAAACAGCTGCCTGAAGCCCAGTGGGGCCGGCAGGCTGCCCACCCCGGGCCGGCTCAGCTGTGAGACAGGGATCTGGCTGGCCCTGCTGGGAGAGGGGCTTCGAGTACTGGCTGATACAGCCCAGCTGTCGTAGATAAGAAAACGAACTTGCTAAACGTCTTACCTACTTTGGAAAAAGTTGTCTGAACGGTGCGGGGGGTGGAGAAAGGTGAAGGAAAAAACAAAACACATGATTTATGAATCCGTTTTTTTAAGTTTTTAAAGTGATTGTAGGAAAAAAAATAGTTGAGAGTCAGCAAACTGGTAGGTTTTTTTCCCCCCCTTTACCCGGAGACCTGGGCTGAATTTGCTCTCTGGTCACTGGGCCATCTCAGACACTCTCCGTTTGCATAAGGAACACGTGTGCCCTCACTGCCAGAGGAAGCTGTCCGCATAAACAAACATTACCCAGATATATGTGTAACCTCTTTCATCTTCCCTCCTCTCTGGACAAGGGCACAATCAGGCTTTCCAAAGTCCAGGAAAACCCCCGACCTAACCCCCCCAACACTTCCAGTTTAGCACTTACAGGGCCTGCAGCCCACAGCCTGGCAAGACTGTCCTCTCCCCACAGTTCAGTTCCCTGGGCGTCCCAGCAGAAAAAAAAAAAAAAAAATCCTCAGCTGCCATTGCAGACACGTGATCCATTTGATGACTCACAGGCCACGCCCCTCCAGGCCTTCCAGCCAGGCCTCTCCACCAGCAACACTGGGATGCACCTTATTACCAAGGGGAACAGCTAACCATCCAAATAATTACTTTTTCAGCTGAAGAATTTACTATATAAAATATGGAGGGGCAGACTCTGCTAGCTCTCTAAATCCTAGCCCCCAACCCCTCTGAGACCTGGGCCAGGCCTGACAAAACGATGGGAAGCTATAGTCCCATTAAAAAGCTACCTTACACGTGAATACCTTTTTTTCCCAAAAATTTTATTGGGGGGAAAACTACAAAACATTTACAGTACAATGTTTACAGTCACAATCTGTAGTGAGCTGATTCCCCAAAGTATATTACAACTCAAGTTGACTTTTGTTACATTCAAATACCTACTTCTGTGTCAAAGTAGTCCCGAGTATACAACATAACATAGTGCTCCAACTGTACCTACGTACATACAAACTACAGCTACTGCTCATTCACCCGCTGTCTAGGAAAAAAAAGCATTCTTGGCCTTTCTACAATGGGAAGAAAAATAGTACAAGTTTTGGAATTTTCTGTAATCAAGGCATATTCATGTAATAACATACTATTATTTTAGCACTAAGAGGTGGCCTCTTCACTTTATCTATATAAAAAAAGTGGTAAAAAAAATCTTTTCCTGTTGTGCAGTTGAACCCATCCTACATTCAAATTCTCTCAAGCACTAAATAGACAAAAAAATACTTATTTGGTTGAGGAAGATTTAAGGCTAGTTCTGGCCCTTCCAAAGGCACTGTGAGACTACCCCCCATTATTGCTACATGTCTGTATACGCAGAATTATGTCACAGTAGAACTGGTGGAATAAGCAAACAAACATCTTTAGCTAGGCTATAAAGTTGGAATGAGAAAAGCATGCCACATTTCAACCTGACTGCTAAGTATGTGGTCACTTTTTTTATCGTTGGATGGGCTACAACCATTATACATTCTAAGAAAACTCTCAAACTACTTCCACAGCATGTAGATTTCTATAAAGAAATCATTCAATCTTTCAGAGATTTACGTAAACAAGTAAAGAAATTAATGAAATAAATATTACATACAATCTCTTAAATTAAGATTTTTTTTTACTCATTTACAATAAAATAACCATGTGAAGTTACAAAAGTCATATATTACTGTGAAAACAACATACACTCCACATTTTGCCGATTAATAATGGCAATCATAATTTAACATAATAAAAGAATATATATCTATTGCTTTCCATCATACCTGATAAATACAGTATGAACAAAATTTTCAATGTATACTTTTCACAAGATAATAAATAAGTTAAATAGGTTTTTTTCATATTGAGTTGTGGTGCAGTGGTGCGAATCAACTCAAAAAAACAGCTAAAAATTCAGCAGTTATTCCCCAACAACTACAACACTAACTAAGCTCTGCCCAAGGCTTCCAGAGAGAGCAGACAAAATGGTTCTAACTTAAACATCCACTAAGTTAAGTGGTAGCAATGAAACCAGTAACCCAGTATGAAACTTTGGAATGCAAGGTTTTTTGTTTTTTTTTTTCCAGGCACACATAACTCGGTTAAAATACAAACACATGAACCTATGGAGCCTACTATCAAGGCATGTTCTTGGCGAAGTATTACATTTTAGAAGCTTACAGGGTTTAACAAGGTGGTGGCTTGGCTGGTTTGTTTACACTGGTCTGAGACACACACAATAAGGAACTTCTTTCAAGACAGGAGTTCCCACATCTGGACTGTAACTAATGCTTTTCAAGTGAGGATATGGAATGGTGTGGTTGGTAGCTGCTGGTGCTGGGTTGATTTTTCCCCCCCCCTGAAGTCCCAAACTCATCTGAGACCTGAAAACGTTGAAGTGTTTGGTTTTTGTTTGTTTGTTTGTTCTTATTCGCATCACAACTGCCCAGGTTGTGAATATTTTGTTCATCCATACAAAAAAAGTTCGTTGGCTGTTTTTGTTTTTTTTCCTTTTCTCAACAAGAATGAAACTTGGTAATAATAAAAATAATAATAGAAAAACAAAACGAGGAAACCGAAAAGGGGAGGGAGGGGTGTGGAGGCCCCTCTCCTGGCACACAAGTTCGAGTCCAAGTGCTCGGTCCAGCCTTGCAGTCTGCACGTGGCCTTGTTCACTCCCCCACTTCTCGTGTCCCACCTGCCCCCCTAAAATAAAAGCTCGGTCGAGATGGCAGGGGGGGTGCACCCTCCTCTCCAACAACACCCCCAGAACCGGCAATCTCCCCCTTCCTTCCTCCTTCCTCACTGGCGCCCCCTTGCCTCAGTCGTCGGAGATGGAGAGGCGGCTGAAGATGGGCAGGCGGCGGCCGGGGTCCAGGCTGGGGGACTCGGAGCCGCTGAGGCTGCCGGAGCTCAGGGAGCCGCTCAGGTAGCTGTCGCGGTCCGACAGCGAGTCCGGGGGGCTCGGGGGCGCGTCGAACACGGGCGACTCGGACAGGCGGCGCGGCAGCTGGTAGCTGAAGGGCGGCGAGGGCGGCGCGGCGGCGGGCAGGGGCGCGCTGGGCGGCTGCGCGGGGGGCACCAGGCCCGGCTGCTGCTGCTGCTGCTGCTGGGAGCGGTAGTAGGCGGCGGCCACGGCGGCGAAGTTGTGGGTCTGGATGGCGAGCGGCGTGATGAGGCTGGTGAGCTCCGGGCCGAAGGCGAAGGCGTTGTTGGCGCAGGAGGCGGCCGAGCAGGCGGCGCACGGGGCGCCGGGGGCCAGCAGGTCTTCGGCGCCGCCCGTACCGTACAGGAGCGCGGCGGCCGCCGCCGCTGCAGCCGCCGCCGTGGCAGAGGAGGCACAGCACGTCGGGGCGCCCGAGGGCGTGGAGGCCGCGGAGGTGGAGGAGGAGCAGGAGGACGCGGACGAAGAGCAAGAGGAGGAGGAGGCCGAGGAGCAGGAGGGCAGCGGCGGCGGCGGCGTGCGGGACGTGGGGCTGTCGAGCAGCAGCAGCTGCGACGACTCGAGGCCCCCGCCACCGCCGCCGCCGGGAGGCTGGTGGTGGTGGCCCGACGGGAAGCCCGAGAAGCTGAGGCTGTGATGCAGCTTGGGCCGCGGCTCCCGGGGGAAGCCCAGGGCCAGCGCGTCGCCGCCAACGCGGGCACCGAAGGCGCGCAGGTCCCCCCCGGAGGAGGCGCCCCCGCCGCCGCCGCCGCCCGAGGGCGCGGGCCGCCGCTCGTCCGCGTTGTGGATGAAGTGGCAGCGCGGCCCGTAGGGGCAGAAGCCGATGGTGTGGAAGGTGCGGCACAGCTCCGTCTTGTACTTGGGGTGGCGGGTCAGGCTGCGCAGCTCGTGGAAGCCGTGGGCGAACTGGCACTTCTCGCCGTACTTGCACGTGCCGCTCTCCTCGAAGGGCCGGCACAGCTCCGTCTTGTAGCGCGTGGAGTTGATCTGGGAGCCGCTGCCGCCGCCGCCGCCGCCCTTCTGCTGCTGCTGCTGCTGCTGCAGGTGCAGGAGGTGCTGGCTGCGCTCGCCGTTCTCGCTGAAGGAGCGGTCCCGGAATTTGTTCTCCTTGTTGAGCAGCGCGGTGCCGCCGCCGCCGCCGCCGCCCCCCGACGGCTCCTTGAGGCTGCTGCTGCTGTAGGGGGCAGCCGGGCTCCCCGCCACCCCGCCGCCGCCGCCGCCGCTGGGCGCGCCCGGGAACTTGGGCGAGCAGCTGCCCGGGCTGGGCGCCGCGGGGTGGGCGAGCGCGTGCAGGTTGCTGGCCGAGTGCCGTCGGAGGAAGCCCGGCGTGAAGGCCGCGCTGGGGGCGGCGGCAGCGGCCACGGGCGTGCCCACCGCCTTCTTGTCCAGCATGTTGTTCAGATGGAGGTTGGCCAGGGATTTCTCCGTCTGCCGAAAGGGAGAGCGGGGAAGGGGTTAAAAAAAAAAAAAAAAAGGAAGAGTTGGGGCGAGGGGCAGAGTTAACTGCCAGGCTTCTGGTTGTTTTTTTTCCCTCTCTGCGGATTTCGACTCGGCCCCCACCCCTCCACCCCAAAAAAAGTTCGCGCTGGTAGGAGCCGGGCTCCCACTTCACCCCGTGCTGCTGGGTTTCGACCTGGGATCCTCGGCCCGTGGGCCGCTGGCTCGGGCGGCGCAGACTCGGCCCGGGAAGCCCCGGGCAGCGTGGCCGCGGCCGGTCGGTCGGCCGGGGAGACACTAAACAGCTACAGCCGCTTCCCCCTCCTGCCCGGCCTCCCTCCCCGCTCCTTCTCCCTGCCTGGGAGGCACCCACCAGCACGAACGACTACTACAACAAACTTGGGTGTTTTTTTTTTTTCTCCCAACTCCCCAAAAAGTCAACGTGGGGAGGGGCTCCCCCCAAAAAAGGCCGAGGGACAGAAAAAGCAAAGTCTGAAAAAACAAAACAAAACACACTCCAAGGGCTTCCTGCTTGCTGCTTTGCCCGCCTTCTTCTCTCCTTTGCTCCGAGCCCCGCGTACCTTGCACAAGAAGTCGATGTCGTAGAAGGCGGGCAGAAGTGTGGTCGACATGTTTCTGGATCCTGTAAGGGTCCGGGCTGCAGGCTGGGAGGAGGTCCGAGGGAGCCTTCGGCGCGGCGGCACTGCCGGACCGGAGGAGCCACGACGGATAACGGGAGAGGGGCGGGGGAGGGACCCGAAGTCGGCGGGGAGCGAGGAAGGAGGGAGAGGGGGGAGCAGCGTGGACGCGTCGGAGGGTGCCCCGGGGAGTGCGGCGTGGGGGGAAAAGAAGGAGAAGCCAAGAGCGCTGCTCCTCCGCGCCCCGGGGTGCCAAGCCCGCCCGCCCCCCCCCCAGCGCGGAGCCGGCGGCAGCTCGCGGACTGCTGGAACTCGGGGGCAGCCGCGCTCGCGCCCTATATAGCCAGCCGCGCGCCGGGGGAGGGGACGGGCTCGCCCCGCTGGGGTCTCCAGGCAACAGGCTGCCCGCCGGCCAGCGGACGTCAGGTGCCTTCCCGGCCTCCCATTGGCCGCCGCCAATTTTTTTTCTTGCTGGGGGCGGGGCGAAGCCTGGGGGCGGGGCCCCCGCCGGCCCGCGGTGGCCTGGGAGCTCGGCCTGGCTGGGTGCTGGGGGTGCTGCTGCTGCTGCTGCTGCTGCTGGGCGGGGGGGGGGGGACGCGGCTTCCCTCCTGGGGGGCCGCACGGTGGAAAAGCCCCAGCACGTCTCACGTGGCTGGCGTCGTCTTGCAGTCCTGGACGTGTCTTTCCCCGCCCGATCCTGCCAGGCGGAATGGCGTTTGATTTTAACTCCCACCCAGGGGTTCAATAGGGAACGCGCGGGAATTGCAAAATGCAAGAATACTGCAACCGTCGGCGCGGCCCGGCTGGTTTGCAAAGGGTGCTGTGCTGTGGTCGGAGGACCAGGGTTCGGGGGGGGGGGGGGCATGTTGGGGTGCGGGCTCAGGGCCCAAGCCTGATGGGTGGAGGCTTCGCCCCGGCTGCACGTGGAGGCCCGGTGGGGGTGGGGCGGCAGCGGCCACGCGGGCGGCAGTCTCGCCGCCGGGAGGAGCCCGGGCCGCTTTCCCCGCCCCGCTCCCCGCCCAGGCTGCAGTAAACAGGGCCGGCCTGGACGCCCGGGCAGGGCAGAGTGTCTGAGGACAAGGCGCTGGCTTTGCTAATCACATCACAAGACCTTGAGCCTGGGCCAAAGTCGCGGAGTGGCGCGGGGCGTCCCGGGCGGGGGAGTCTCCTGCGAGGACGGGAGGAAAGGCAGGCAGAGCGGCGGAGGCATGGAGGCGGCTTCCCGCCGCCCTGTGTGTCTCCTGGTCAGTCCGGCCTTTCCCAGCCCTCCCAGGGATTGGGGTGTAGCTGCCAGCCAAGCTCCCCCGCCCGCCCGCAGCCTTGGCCTGGCGCACCCTCCAAGCCCTCCCTTGGCCACTGGGGGAGCCGCGCCCCGACTTAGCTCGTTGTGGGCCGCAGGCTCTGGCTAAAGCTGCCCGCGGCCAGGCAGGGCTGGGCACCGAGGGCTCGGATGATGGACTCGCCCCCATTTCCTCTCGCCAGCTCCACACCCCTAACGCCGGTGCCGGGAAATGTTCTGCCTCCGGGTACGGGGCAGACACCCCCTCTAGCGCCCAGTGAGGCTAAAGCCGCGGACAGTCCCACTCGGGCAGATAAGAGACTGTTGCAGGCCACTTCCTACCTATAATTATGCTGCCAAAAAGCTGGAGCTGGGCCCATGATTCTGCACACCTGGCAGCCTCGGCTGCAACTGGGCTTAAGTTGGAAGAGTCAGGGAGCGGCCCACACCCCCTTCCCGAATTGATCTTATTTGGCTTGTGTTCTGCCCTTATTTCCATTAGGTTGCTCATTTCCTCTCTCAGCTAACCTGGAGGGGAAGGGCTCCTTCGAGTTAAGCTTGAATGCAGTACCCAGTGCTGCACTCCCTCCACACCTACCCAGGGAACTAGAGTCTGGGTAGGGCAAAAACTTGAGGGCCAGAAACTTAGGGCTTGAAGTTCAGAGCCTGCCCCTTCCAAGCCGTGTGGTTTTAGGCAAGTCACATGACATTTGTGTTATAGACCAAGGACTCTTTGGTTCTTGAGTTTTCTGGCGAAACTATAATTCCTGCTTTACTTATTTCTCATCTTAGCCAAGGTGCAAATGAGTTGTTAAGGGTGTTTAAAAGATGAGTAAAGTCCATCCTAGTAATTAAAGCAAATTTACATAGCATAAAAAAAAAACAGGAAGCCAGTCCTCTGGTCTGTGGCCAGATGTCTAGAGGTTTGCAGAATCATGAATGCAGAGATAGGGGCACCAAATCTTAAACTTGAGGATAGTGCCCTCAGAACAGGTGACCGCTTCATTCTTTTTTACATATATACTAGAGGCTGGCCTGGTGCATGAAATTTGTGCACAGGTAAGGTCCCTAGGTCTGGCAGGTGATCAGGGCTGATGGGGCCTTGCAGTTGCCAGCTGGGGCCTTCCTTCATTCCACCTCGCCCCCTGGTGGTCAGCACACGTCATAGCAAGTGGTCAAACTCCTGAGGGGACACTTCGCATATTAGCATTTTATATATATAATCTTTATTTTTTTAAAGTATTACATATGTTCCCCTTCCCCCCATTGACCTAGCGCCCCCCCCCCCCCCCCACGGCCTTCCCCACACCATTGTCTGTGGGTGACTGTTTCATTCTTATGACTGACCCAGCCTTCCCTGGCCCCTAGATAGAGCTGGGCTGCTGCAGCTGACACTTCTAAAACCCTGGCTGTTCTGTTTTGTTCTTTATTGAAATGACCCCAAAGACAACAATTTGAGGGTGGCCCTGACAGAAGGGAATTCCAGAGTTTCCCTGGGAATCAGGAAAGTGTAGGATAGCCATTTCCCTAGCCACTGCTATTGGAGGTGAGCAACAGGATTTCAGACACAAGACCAGTGACACATCTGTGCCCCCGTCCTTCCAGGCTGTCCCTCCTGTCCACATCGAACCCAGATCAAACCCCAGGGTAATTCTGCCTAGTCCACAGCTATGTAGACTTGGCAGAAGGATTCTGGAGATAACATATAAACATGCTATAGAGTACAGGTTTTGGTACAGAGTACCTGCTGGCATAAAACATTTTTATTATGCAACTGCTTGTATTTCATTTTTAATAAAGAAAAAATAAAAAAAGGAATGTGGACTTTGCTGGGGCCAGTTTCATAATATTCTACCATGGTTATCGGCACATCATGCCAACAATTCCCTGACTTCTCACCAGCCAGGCCTTCTCAGAACAAAAGAAATATTAGGTTGGCAACCTCCCATCAAGTGTGTGTGAGCCACACAGATGCCTAACCAGGAAATTAATTTAGGATCATACAAAAAAAAATTTATTTATTTTTTATTTATTTATTTTTTTTAGCTGAATGGTGCAAAACAAGCAAAGGAATCTCCTATTCTCATTAAGACAAAACTTTGGACACTAAGTCAACTTTTCTCCCTCTCTAAAGAGCCATTTCTATTTCTAGGGTGGCTGTATTTTTAATGTGAGGTGGTTTTCTTCAAAGAGAGACAAATTATATCTGAAATATAAGCCTTTCTGCAGTAGGAAATGATCATATCAAACTCTCCTCTAAACTGCCTCTTCAGACCCTCAGACATCAATAATATAATTCTAAGAGACTGCTCACCTGAAAAGTATTTTAAAATATTTACAGATCCTAAAAGCTGGGCCAGGTTTATATACGATTGCTGAAATGGCCTTTTCAGATAACTAGGATGAAAAATGAATGTGGATGAGGCTATGACCCATCCCAGCTACGAATTTCAAGATAACTGCCCGAGGGTTACACTCACTCTGAAATAAATTGAAAATGGCAAGTCCATGAAAAACAGGACCAGCGGCAAAATGTATGCAAGAGTGACACCTGCTGGGTGTCTGAGGAAGAGGGCTGGGCTTGGAAACGCAGAAAACCCTTAGGCTTGCGAGAGTCACTCACTGAAATGGATCAATGTTATTTTCTGGCTCCTAAATAAGAAACCCGTTGTTATTGTCACTAAGAAAATGATGGTAAACAGTGTGGGCATCAAATATGCCATTTATCCCGGCTCTCCTTTCCCCGGGTTCCGTCTAACAGCCAAGAGGCTATGCTTTCACCGGGCAGCTCAGGTAGCCCTAGCATTAGCAAAAACACCTTTTTCCTGGGCTAGGAGCTCTCAATGGCTCTTTTAATAATTAGAAGTGGCATGTGTAGGTCACTCAGGACTCACACATGCAGGCAATAAAGAAAACCCCTATTTGTATGAAGTTGATCCTTAATACTCTCAGGATCCATCCAACATTTGGAACATATTCCTGCTTTAGCTAAAATGGAATAAAGTTTAGAATTCTGACCAAATGGGCCATTTGCCAACAAATCCAGCTCCGACATCCAGCCAAAAAAAAAAAAAAAGGGGGGGGGGGGGAAGAGGGGGGAGAGGAATCATATGTCAAAACCCAATTCTATGCAGTCAATTCACAGAAAACGCAGGCCGGCTACGGCTGGACATCAGCGGTCCTGGAGGATGAAAAAGGCTAATTCAGACCCACAGGTGGCCTGCACCTGGGAACAGAGCAGATATTCACTGTGGTAGCCTCACTTCCTACAGTAGCTGCAATAAACCAGGCTGCCCTGAATGAGGGAACTGATGAAAAACTCCTCTGTAGAAAGACTGGACTCACAGAAGTCGGGGAGGTATGAAGGGCAAACAAACAAAAAAAAAGTGAATTTATGTTCAACATATTTCCTGCAGGTTTAGTGGGGACTAATCCACCCTCACCCACCACACTAACCCTCACCCTCCAGCAGGTCTCCTTTCTTCAACAAGCCACTTCTGTTCCTGGAAGAGTTAACTGATTTGCTTCTGCTGGAGAGTCAGCAGCACTGGGAACCAGGGTGCCTTCCCCTTCCTTTCCTTCCAAAAGGGCCAGCAGCCTCAGGCAAGCCAAGGTCCTTTCCTCCTGAACGCGCAGTCTCGTGGACTCCACCGTCTTCAGGAACGCGGCGGGCGGGGGCAGCTCTCCGGAGAGCTGGGAAAGGCCGCGGCGCTGCTCTGACGCTGTCCTTCGAAGGTGACGGAGCCTCTCGGGCCGGAGGGGACTCCGGCTGGACTTGGAGAGGAGACGGGAGAGGTTCTTGGAGAGGTGTTTTACAAAGGTCAGGGTCTCCGCCCAAAAGTTGATTTCTGCTTTTTCAAACAGGTAGTCTTCTTCCACCTAAATCAAACGGAAAGCCAAAAGTCAGCCTCACAGGGGATGCTGACAAACACAAGTCCAGATCAGAGTCCTGCCAGATGCAGAAGAGGCGGGTCCCCTCCCCCACCGAAGAGAGGGCCCACTTGGGCCTGTCAACACCAGCTACACACACCACTTGCAGCCTTGAAGGTCACCTTCTATTTTCACTCGTACTTCTCTACTGGAGAGGAATTTTTTTTTCTCTCCAGACTTAACATGACCTTTGATAAAGATGTGTTTGTGGTTCCAAGCCAAGATATTTTGGGGGCCTGGTGTTGAAAAGGGGACCTCAACATGGGGGGGTGGGCCCTGGACATAAAGGTGCGTCTAGAAATCAGAGAGGAGGGAGGAAGGGAACTCTTGGCAACAGAACAAAAGCAAACTACCCGACACGAGACACTACATAGTCTCTGAGTATGAAATTAAATTTTTATAATGTTGGGGATTTTCAAGGCCATCTTATCTTGTTTCTCAATTTCCCATCAACAGGCTGCTTTTGATCTCTCAGCCTGCTGGTGATGCCAAAAAGGCCATCTGAGTCAGATACTGTGGATGGGAAAGGAAGTTGTGAAGATGCTTTTGCTACTTGTCTTAGTCCCTGGTTTTTCTGTATGTTGACTAGTCCCCCACCTGGATGGGGCTAATCGTTTTCTTCAGTCAGCAAATACCCTGGGAGGACCCTGGTTCTCTGGAAATGTTTCACC